TGAGAGCTCTGAGCGAACCGGAGATGTCTGAAGCTTTTCATCTCAAAGCTCACCTCCACTGACCCACCAAGGCCACGCCTCCTAAACCTTCCCAAACGCCGCCACCAAGTGGGAACCCAGTGTCCAAAACACCTGGGGCCACGGGGGACCTGCTCCTTAAAACCACAACGCACTTTGATCTCAGCCTCTCCTGCTCCACCCAGCCGCTCGGTGGAGGCATTATCTCCCTCACCACCGACCGCCTTTGCACTTCCTGTCTCATCCCCAAGGTGTTCTTCTACCCAGGTATCAGTGTGGTTCAGTCCCTCCACTCTTTCGTGCCATGGCTCCAGTTGGCAGGACTCTAGATTCTTTCTCTTGTATTCCAGCCCTCCATGCTTTCTATGCCCCTTCCTAGCTTCAGCAGTCTCCTCACTATCTAAATACCAGATATCCTCTTCATTTGCTTGGCCTGTTCTCTTTATTTGTGGGTCTCTTCCCACCTCTGTAAAGAAGGTGTTTTGTCTTTTCATTTTTTTTACATGCTACAGCACCTAGGGTGCTTGAAGAGCAATTCCTGAAGATGTGTGCTTGTATGAAGCCTGCATTCTATCAGCATGGCCTAGCCTGGTGTGGAGGAAAGAGGGAGTGGCATGGACTACAGGTCTGGTGACAAAATTCCATAGGTTCCCCCCCCCCCCGCCCACCAGAGTGTCGTGGGAAGATTACATTATCCTTGGTCCTGAGCTTTACAATTTATAACACAAGTTAACTGCTTACTAATTAGCAGCTGCAGCCATTAATTGGCTATTTGTTAGAGCTCGAATTAATAAACTGGTCTTTCAGCGGGGTCATAACTCTCGCCTTCCCCTGTCCCCCTCCCAGCCAACCTCCCCCCTTGACCAGAACTCGGCCCGCTGTGCGATTCAATCAATACCTGCCACCGTATGATTTTCAGATGCAATCTACCTCGCCAGGCGACGACACCGTCGGGGCCAGGCTGAGTCTCTCCCCGCTCTCCCTCTCCTCCCTTCCAGGCTCTCACTCACAAGAGGACGGCGAGCAGCTGGAGGAGATGGAGAGCTTTCTAGTGACAGTGGTGTCATTAGAGCCTGCAGCTAACTGCCCGGCTGGACCCTGCCCTGGGACCCTGCTTTCCTGGCTCATCTTAGTCACACAACCACGCTTAGCTAGTTCTGGTACTTCCTGAAAAGCCCAAGTGCTGGGCTTTCTCTGCGACAGAGGAAGAAGGGCTTTCTTCAGCGAGGAGGTGATGGTGGCCCCTGACACAGTCTGATCCTGAGCCCCATGGTTCTCCTCAGGGGTTCCCGCAGGTCTTGGGGTCTCCCCACACTCTTAATAGCCAGCCCCACGTAGAGTTCTTATGAAATCGTGGCTTGTGAATGTCGCCCTGGGCTTGCACACTCGCAGCGAAGGTAGTTCAGGAGGAAGGAGCAAGGTTGTTCAGCCCAGCTCCTTATGTCAGAGCGCCTGACCATGCAGCAGCTCTGTGAGGCATGAGTAAGTCTCGGAGATTCCTGACAGTGCCTGCCAGGAAGCCTTTGCCCCCGGGGCAGGTACCCAGTTCTCTGAGGCACTGTGTTGGGCAGAAAGCCCACCTAGCTGACATCTTGGGGGGGAAGTGAGGCAGATTAGGGCTGGGTCACAGGACTGGTGGTGCCTTGCCTGCGGTCGTCGGTTCTGAGGCTGTGTCTCAGGCAGCAGGCCCGGAACACTGGGAGGAGGAAATGACTGAGTTGACAGGCACACACGAACAGGCTGTTGAGGTGTTTACACTACACACAGCCAGTATTCGCAAGTGGATTAGCACAGCAAATGTTCAATCCCAGCCTGCCAGGCTCCGGACTTCTGCTCCCCTCCTCCCCAAGCCTCCTCCACCACAAGGCCTCTTTCTTTCTTTCCCAGGCCCGTGTGTGTTCAGACGGTATGCCCGTCCCTTCCGCCATGCCAAAGAGGAGCAATTTGATGCTGTTTGGGGATGGGGTGGCTGACTGGAAGGGAAAGGGAAGACAAGGGTTTCCCAGAATAGGCAAAGCCAGGGAGGGCCTGAGTCATCAGGATGGCTCCCTGGAGCTTCCTGGGGGATTCTGGAAGCTTTCCAATAATGGCAACGCGACAGTAAACCAAGCCGCTCACCCCCTCAGTTGGTGCCACTTCCCTTTCAGACGGGGTGGGAAGGCAGTGGATATCAATGAGGCAGAGCACGCTTTTTTTTTTTTGGTTAACGGTTGTGAGTAGAGAGGGTGGCACATTGATTGGACTGCAGGATCTGGCCCACGGTAGACATCATTCATTCATTCATTCATTCATTCATTCATTCATTCATTCAGCAAATCTCCAGTTGGCATTTGCTGAGTTGGGTTTGGACACCCTTAACTGAGCCTTGGACCCCCCAGCCCCGCCCCCACCCAGTAAAAGGAAGAAAGAAATGAGGAGGGCAGGAGCCAGCGTGGATAGCCTGGGAGAACCAGAAGGAAACTGAGGAGGAGTAGGCCGACGGCGCCCCTTCCCACCTACCCGTCATCTCCTAGGGCTTTTCCACGATTCCCTAGCGGGTCGGGTCGGCCCGGGCCGGCCCGGGCCGGCCAGGGGAAGAAGGACCCGGTGGGAACTGGTTTGGGGAAGGAGGGGTTTAGTATTAATATTTTAATGCGCGCGTTCATTGACATGCAAGCGAGCCGAGGCTTCGGGTGGAGGAGCGGGTCTTTGAGTTTGGACAGACGCCCGGAGTCATGGATCCGCTCTCGCTGCGGATCCGGGCAGGACTCAGCCTCCGAGCTCGTTAGCCGCCGCGGCTGTCAGCGCTCCCACGGGCGGCTCAGGTCCAGTCCCTGCGCCCGCCCGCCCGCTCGCCCGCTCGCGCCGAGATAAATAACGGCGACAGGTGGAGCAGGTGAGATGAGCAGGACCCAGGTGAGGGGGTGGGGCGGGGGGACGCCGTCCGCGGCGCCGGGGAGGTGGTGCCTCGCCCCCCAGCCCACGCCCCTCCACAGGGGCGCCTGGAACGAGCTGCGTCCCGGTCACGGCTCCGGGGAGGGCCGGGCGGAGGGGACGGAGCTGGGAGGGGGGCTCGGCCGCGGGCCCGCGGGTGGGCGGGGGCGAGCGCAGCGGGCCGATGGGGACGCCGGGCGGCCCCGCGGAGCTCTGGCACACCGAGGTCTCGCCGGCAGACCTGTTGGCAACCTGTGGGCCGCAGCGAGGACGCGAGCCGCAGGCACCGCGTCCTGCTCCTCCGCGGCGCCGGCCCCGGCCCGGGGAGAGGCCGAGGCGGCCCGGGAAGGGGCTGGGGCCCTGCCGGGGGCGGCGGCGGCGGCGGCGGCGAGATTGCCAAGCCGAGCCAACCTCGCCGCGGACGAGCGGCCCTGGCGCCAGCTCCGGTCTCGGAGCCGCGGGCGCCCCCGGCCTTTCCCTCGGGTCCCAGGCTCCGGGGTCGCCTTCTCTCCAAAGTGCAAAACATCCCTAAGTGCCCGGCGCCCCGCAGGTCCGGGGCTCCGCAGCCCGGGCGGCGAGCGTTTGCACCCGGCCCGGGCTCTGCCAGCCTGGGCTGTGCGAGGGCGGGCGGGGAGCGGGCGCGAGTGCGCGGCGGCGGAGCCCGCGCCGAACCCACGTTCCCGTTACTGTCCTCGGGATAGATGGATCCATTGCTGCTTTCTGACATTTTTTTCTGCCAGGGGGCTGGGGGGGGGGGGG